AAGCGTGAACATTGTTTCAGTTTTTTTAATTTGATCAGCTGTTGTCCGGAAATTCAGCCTTGGGGTTTGTAGACCCAAGTTTTGTTACTTTTCGCACTCCTCTATATCTAAGTGAATTTAGGGTTTTGTTTTGTAATTTATTTTACTCGTAATCATCAGAAGTTTTATTTGTTAGTGCAAAGATTAGCGACTGAGATCACATCTGGTTTCCTTGTAGTTTGAAGTAGAACGTAGAAAGTTGTTTCACCTATTAGAGAAGCCGTAGCCCTTAGTTTTATTTAACTGATACGTCATTGTTAAATATTATTATGTCAAATCATTACTGATTCAGATATACTCGTTGATTATTAGCAACCGCACAAATTCCTCAAATAATCATCTTCCATGGCATGTAACGGCAGCTTCTTTCTCCTGCATCCATAGGGGTCATTTCAGCATTCGAGGTACACGGCATATGAACAGTTGCATTACTATGTGTGTCACGTATGGTCTTGCTGGCAATTATTTTACTGATGGCTCCTTGCTCAACATCACCGGCGTTGTTGCAGCCGGTGCTCGGTATAGTTTTTCTCAAAATGCACCTAAATGTAAACGGGAGCGTGTTAATAAGCGCTTAGCTCCTTCAGTAATTGAGTGTTGTTTCGGTCACTAAACTTATGCGAGATCTGTTTTGTACTGCGGGCGATCAGAAACCATGCAGCCATATCTCACTTGAATGTTTTTTTTTCACGGCAAGTACCAGAACATGGTTAAGTGATGCTGCCTAACTCTGTTATATCAAAGCGCAGTAATGATAATTATAACATAGTATGTTGAGTTCTGTGTTTGCCATTAATTGGCTGACTCCTCTGAAGATTTTATTTTTTCGAATTAGGAATTAATATTCTGTTGGTTTAACCGGGACCACAGATTTTTTACAGATCAAACACCAACTGAACTTTAATATTGATGACGTCCCGATTGAACAGTTTCGAAGCAAAGCTGAGTTTGATCTTAAAATACTTTGGTATTTTTCTGTTTGTCTGTTTTGTCTTGAAGAAAAAGACCGTTATTGTGTATCTGAAATGTTGGCCATGAAAAGTAAAGGAATTTTAACATCGACTTTAGCCCTTCCCTCATAACCTTGCAATTGAACCATCGTCCATTTCATGTTTCAGTTAATTTTTGATCTGCTTGGCAAAAACAACGTTGGTCCTCCTAATTAAAATGGCATATAGTTAATTATCATTTTCAGGAACATCAGATGATTTAGCAACACCGCTCTACGTCCGGATTTCGATATTTGCAATTTGAGAGGATAGCGAACCTTTTAAATCAAAGAAATTTTCGATGGCTGCTTTTCTTTCATAACATTTCTTAAGAACAGTCTGTTGTCGCTTGAATGTCTGTCCTCTTTACACTTTTATGATTGACGACCATTTGTGGGTCCATTCAGTTCGTGAAATGTATGGTGCGTCGCTGATTTCTGTTTCTATGACATCAACAAGAACTGCATTATCTTAAAGGCAGCGCCTATGGTTATGTGGTAGGCATGGTGCGTAGTCTCCTGTTTCTTTCCCACAGAGTACTGTTCATACAGTGTCCTCGCCTGGAAGAAAGGCCATCGGTTTCTGAATTTAACTGTTCTTTCGGTTCTCAGTCTGAGGCTCTACCGACTGAGCAACCCCAGTCATGATTTCTGATTTAACTTGAAGAGTGGCAACAAACTTTCGCTCATAGCGTTTGTTTATTAAGGAAATATTTGGGTCGATTGGCGACATTGTGCCGGAATAAGTGGAATATGAGCGTTAAATAAATAAATAAAATATTAACTTCCGTGATCGTCAAGAATTGTATTGTGAAATACATGAAAAATGAGTACATGCAGTACTTGAGAAACATTTGAGTAATCTATTCTTTACAATTGACTTAAAGCAACAAAGGCGATCCATTTGTTCCGTTTTCTGTTAGTTCATACCGTCGATGAGATATCTGATTTCAGCTTGAATGCGTCATTTCGGCGCTTTTAAATATTGGGTACGACCTGGAACGTCAGTGTCCTGATCGCCTTACGAATCTCAGAGACATAATTCGGGATGCCCTGATCCAGGCCAGCGAGCCATGGGCTCGAAAAGTAGGTCGTTTGTTCGTAACTGTTCTACAGGTTGGTTGATGCTGATGTTCACTTTTCGTTTTAGATGATTTTATTGTTAGTCGAATTAAGTGCCAGCAATTGGAAGTTACCAAATGACGCAAATGCGTATTACTTTGAAACTCAACCATGTGCCTAAAAAGTTTTTTATCATGAATCTCGAGTTTTGATTACAAATGGAAGAACGAATGAATAGATATCTGTTGATATTAAATTTATGTATTACGATTGCGTGATGCGCGTGTTTTTGTATTTTTGTTCTGAGAGATTTTATCTAGTCGTAGGTTCTTTGTTCTTTGCGGTACTAGTGTGTATATATTGTGTAGTTTCATTTTATATATACCTATTTATTTTAGTACTTATTTTATGTTGTATTTTTGTATGCCGGGCAAATGCAAAGCCGTTTTGTTAAAGATAAAAAACATGGTGCTTGCTTTTCCGTAAATGTGTTTTAATGCGCAATCTGTGGATGTACGTTTCGCTTATGTAC